TTCCTTCTCTCGAGGTCCATCATGTGCTCGTAATTCTGGACTGAATGGGGGTGTTTTCGCTTGTTTGTCGGACATCAGCACCCTGTCTTCATTCACGACATCGTTGTTGCCGTTGTCCATGGCAGCGGTTTGACCCTGGCGTTCGGTCGATATTCCTTTGTGCCAATGAGTGCAGCATGCTCACTCTACTCATTCATTATGTGCTCTGCCGCTTGATTGAGGTATCGCTAGCACCCCATGGCACGAACGTCATGCACCGGTGTGCATGCAGCCCTCGCGTTCTCCCTCCAAGGACCACTCCTCCTCCAGCGAGAGCGGAAAAAGCCCAGGACCAAGACAAGTGCCTTGGAAGAAACTCTCAGATGAAACTGACTGGGGCCCATGTAGCAGGCATGTGCCGGTAACGATGTAGCTCCCGAGCCCGCTCGGTGGAGTGAGGGGAGGCGGGGTCAGCGCCAGCTACCAAAACTAAAAATTGGGTCAGCCAGAGGAGGTCGGAGGGGATTGGCCGACCAGAGTCAGGGCTGACCCTGCTTGCTACGAGGGGCTCCGAAGTTTGGGGGGAGGGAGCCAGCTCAGCTCGGAGGGGGGGGGAAGGGGGAACCATCGAGCTGGAAGCTGAGATCTTCCGACACATCGGCGGTATAGGACGCCGATGGAGGCTCCGCCCAGCCCTGGGCGGGGTGAGCTATGGCGGGCCCAGCTCGGTAATGAACTGGCGACTTGCGGGTCGATGCGTCCCGCCCTGAGCCCATCTCACGCCCTCACGCTACCCCCTGGTGTGACCGCTGCCCCGATCTCACCTTGACTACCTACCGAACCACCCCAACCCAATCCGAAGACCCGCATTTGACCCTTCGGGTTGGGGGGGGGGGGTACGAGCTCCACGTGCTTTTTCGATGTTTCCCGACCCCCCCCCCCCACACTGGAAATGGAGGGCACATCGCGGCCTTCGGGTTGGGTTGGGGTGGTTTGGTCCCCGATCTCACCTGGCCCTGGCCCTCCAGGACCGCTACGGGTGCGAGCTCTCGCAGACGCACCCACGCGACCCGACTCGGGCGTCGGAGGCCCATAGGGGTCGGTAAGAGCCCACGTGAGAGATCGAGAGGAAGACCTTCGCACGGCGGGCTCACGCCGCAGTGGCGTCGGTGCTTGCTTCTGACACCGCGTGGCGCGTGCAGCCTTGAACGGTCGCAGCGTTCCGATAGCGATGATCGCTTGAGATCGGCCGATTCTGGGCCACTGGCCGCGTTCAGCCTTGAGCGCCCGCGCTGGGGTCGCTCCTCAGCAGCGTTAGGCCTCATCAGCAGCCCCCCGAGTTCCGGGGGACATCGGAAATGCGAAATTCCTGTGGACACCTGCTGGAACACAATTTTCTTCTTTGCTGCGCCGAGTGAGAACATGTAGACATAAGATCAAGCACGTTCCTGATAAACACCCGGGGAACGCCTTTGCTGCCAACACCTCGAATCCTCGGGGCGACCCGAGGACCCCACTGGAGCCACCCGCCGGGGGCGATCGGGGGATGGCACACTTCCGGACGCCTGCTGGCACACGCCGCTTCCTCATCTGACGCGCCAGCCGCACACCATCACTTCCGCCCCAAGATCGCCCAAGAGGCCTCCAAGATGGCCCCATGACGGCCCAAGAAGCCCCAAAGAAGGCCCAAGAGGGCCCCAAGACGGGCCAAGAGGCCTCCAAGACGCCCAAGATGGCCTCTAAGACGGCCCCGAAGCGCCCCAAGAGGGCCCCAAGTCGGCCCAGAGAGGCCCCCAAGACGGCTCCCGACGGCGTCAGACGTGCCAGGAGCCAACCAAGACGGCCGAAGATGGCTTTAAGATGGCCCAAGACGGCCCAGGAGGCCTCCAAGAGGGCCTCCAGGAAGGCCCGAAAAGGCCAAAATCACTAATTTCCCATGAGTCTTTGAAGGATTCTGGCATTTGCTTTTTTTCAGCCTTCCGACGGCCCGAGACGGCCCAAGTGCCCCCAAAGATCGCCCAAGACGGCTCCAAGAGGCCCCCAAGACGGCCCAAGAGGCCTCCAAAACGCTCAAAATGGCCTTCAAGACGGCCCAAGAGCCCTCCAAGACGTCCTCCAAGAAGGCTCGAAAGGGTCGAAATGGCCTCCAGACGGCCCAGATGACCTTCAAGATGCCCACGTGTTCCCCGAAGGATTTCCTAACCGATTAGGGGAACACATGGTCCGATAGCTAGGCAGATCTGGCCTCAACGTTCGGCCACATAGGCGCTTCCAAAAAGGCAGAGGGCGGCGGTGATTCGCCGTAGGTGTCTTTGATCCGCCGCTCCCTGTCGATTCATCGCAGGGGTGCCTGGCGTGCTAGACCCTCTCGGTTTTGGTTTTGGTTCTTTTTCCAAAAGAACTCCCCCTGGGCCTTCGGCGCGTCCCGCCGGGGTCCCGGGAGGCTCTTCCGGAGGTGGTTGCCGTGGGTTTTCCTGCCCCAGACGGCTCCAAGATGGCCCAAGATGGCTTCCAAGATGCTTCCAAGACGGCCAAGATGGCCTGCTAAGATGGCCCCAAGATGCCTCCAAGACGGCCCAAGATGCACCCCAGACGGCCTAAGATGGCCTCAAGCTGGCCCAAAACGGCCCCAGAGGCTCCCAAGAGGCCTCCAAGACGGCCCAAGAGGCCTCCAAGAGGTCCTCCGGGAAGGCCCGAAGAGGCCAAAATCATTGATTTTCCTACAGTTGTTGAGGTACTTTGGCATTTGCGCCTTTTCGGCTTTCCGACGGCCCAAGACGGCCCAAAAGGCCCCCAAGGTCGCCCCAAGATCGCCCAAGAGGCCTCCAAGATGGCCCCACGACGGCCCAAGAGGCCCCCAAGACGGCCCCAGGAGGGCCCCTAGACGGGCCAAGAGGCCAAGACGCCCAAGATGGCATCTAGGACGGCCCCGAAGCGCCCCAATATGGCCCCAAGTCGGCCCAGAGAGGCCCCCAAGACGGCTCCCGACGGCGTCAGACGTGCCAGGAACCCACCAAGATGGCCGAAGTTGGCTCGAAGCTGGCCCAAGACGGCCCAAGAGGCCTCCAAGAAGGCCAGTCACATCAGTCGGAGCGCCCCCGGATCGGCGGCACTGGCCGGAGGCCACTACAATCTCCGACACCGTGGCTGCTTCACATCCCTGAACCCAGAGGTCTATGTGAGCGTTTTCTCTTATTCGGCGTTTCGACATTAAGCGGAAGGGGGGGGGAGGGGGGAGGTCTGGCTCCAGACCTCTGCTTAGTGCGACGGTTTGCATCAGTGCGTCCTCTGGAGAAGAGGCTCCACCTGCTCGAAACAGGCGCCCCAAAACAGCCAAGTTCCACTCCATGGAGGGGGGGGGAAGGAGGTGGGGGTATGCTATGCGAGGGCCCGCGCCGATCGGCAAAACAAGGAATTCAGAAAACGACGACCAAATCTCTGACGTCGCGGCTGCCTCCAAGCGCGGACCCCCAGAGGTCTACTATAGACCCCTTCTCCGGGACCGGGCGCTTCCTCCCCCGAGGCGCTGAAGTTGGCGGTCCCTGGGGCCCGGCGAGGGCACCAGGAGGAGGAGGAGGAGGAGGAGGAGGAGGAGGAGGAGGAGGAGGAGGAGGAGGAGGAGGAGGAAGGTGAAGGAGGAGGAGGGGGAAGAGGAGGAGGCGGAGGAGGATGTTGCAGGACCAAAAGGCATAACAAAACCGTGGCGCTCAACGAAGCGCGGGCCAAACGTGCCCTGGCCAACGGCCAACGTGGCCAAAGGCCAACACCAAGGGCACACGTGCAAACAGGGGGCTGTAGGAGGCGGAGGAGGAGGAGGAGGAGGAGGAGGAGGAGGAGGAGGAGGAGTAGGAGGAGGAGGAGGAGGAGGAGGAGCAGAACATCCCCGTCCCCGCAGTGGTGGTGGACCATCGGCCCATCGTGTGTGGATGTGTGTCCTCATCCTCCTCCTCCTCCTCCTCCTCCTCCCTCCCCCTCCCCCTCCTCCTCATCATCCTCCTCCTCCTCCTCCGCGTCCTCCTCCGCCTCCTCCTTCTCCTCCTCCTCCTCCTCCTCTTCCTCCTCCTCCACTCCCTACCTATGGCAGTGGTGTGGTGGAGAATCGGCCCATCAGCACACACTCCAATCAATCCCGCCGTGGTCCTTTCCCACCCAGCAAAGCGCGGCGGACGCCCCACCTGCCCGACCCAGCCGGGCGCCAGTTGCCCGTCGCGACTGGGACGAGCGCAGAGCTCCCCTCGTCTCGTCAGCCCACGTGATAGCCCTGGTGGAAATCTGGGAGCGTGCCATTCTCGTGACCTCTGATCGCTGGATTCAACCCGTTTCTCGTCTCAATAAAACATCGCTGGTTCCAACACATGCTGTTGCTCCCATGACGCCCTAATATTGGAAAGCATCTTTACAACGAACTCGTACTCCTCTGCCCGGGGGGGTGGGGGCGCGCAAAGGTGGGGCATGGGCAGAGGTGGGGTGGGAGGAACATCGCTCCGAACGGCCCCTGGAAGAAGGAAGCGGTTGAAACGGGAGCGTCCAGCTGGGCTCGCTCCCCAGCCCCACCCTGGGAGAAACCCCTCCTCCCCTGAGATCCGACGTCGCGAACAAAAATTACAGCACCGCAAAGAAACAACCAGGGCCTCGGACCCCATCTTTCTGCGTCATATCTCGAGCCGGCTCGATCTGTGAAGGTCCCGAAAAACATGCGACAACGCCCGCGGTGAAAAACAAATGCAACACCAAGATTTCAGGGTTTACCCGCCCCCGACTCTGACACAGACCCCCGACGTCGTGATTTTTGTTAGACGTCGACCCCCAGATGTCTGGACCCCTTCCCCAGGACCGGATTTTCATCCTGGGTCGTTTTCTGACGGTCCGGGGGCCCGGCGAGGGCCCCCGGAGGCCGAAAATGCACGTCGTTCATTTCTAATCGTGCTCATTTCTAATTCTGCTCGTTTCTAATTGTTCCTGGCCCCCTGGTGGCCAGGAAGAGACCCAGGATAGAGCAATTAGGAATGAAAGGATCTCGCCCCCCCAAAAAAATCAAAGAATTGTGGAGGAATTCGACATGAACAAGGCGTGCAGAAAAACACCCCGCCATGTTTTTCTCGCATCGCGCAGGGGCCTGGGGCGCCAGCTGCTGGTCACCACACGCGGCGCGGGCGCCGCGGCCCCTCCCGCGGCTGGGGGCACCGCCTGCCGCCCGAGAGCCTGGCGCGGACGCGCCGCCTCGGCCCGGGCCCAGGCCCGGGCCCGGCTCCTCGTAGCCTTCTGGGCGCGCGGGGCCCGGCGGGGCGCTCTGGTCTGCGCAGGGGTCGGGCCGGGCGCAAGGGCGGGGTAGCAGAGGGGGGAGTTGAGAATCAGCTCATGTGGCCGATTTTCCCAGCGCCTCCCGGCGCCGGGAGGCGCCCATGTATCGATCGGAATGGACCCGGCGGCGGGGCCGAAACCAGCCGCATGCAGCAGATTTCGTAACCCCCCCTTTCCCTATCCCCCCCTTTCGTTCGGCCCGATGGTCTGCGCAGGAGGCACACGACGGATCCCGGACGAGGACAACTTCGGAGGAAGATAAATCGAACATCTCGGAGAGCCGGCGGCCTTCTCAGAGGATCCCAGGGCGCTCCGAAAGCGTTCAGGAACGCTCTGGATCGGATTCAAGGTGTATCCTGGTCCCAGCCCCGGCCAAGGCACCCGCAAACCATCCGCGTGCCTGGCTGGGGCCATGCTGGGCCTCAGGATGGCGAGAACGCCTGGGCTAGAACCGGCGCCGCGACACGTTACAGGCAACGCGTGATGCACGAGAAGATGCAACGTCCTTGGGAGGCAATTTCGAAGCGTTTCGATCGGGGCGCAGCCAGCGAAAGTGGCCAAGGATCGGCATAGGGGAAAGGATGCAAAGGTAGCCTTGGAAAGTCGGTCGTCCTTACTATCCGCGTTGACTGTAAGCAAAGTTCCTGGTCGTACATAGGGCAACAATGATGGCATGATCAAATTAGCTAAAATTACGTTCCAAGACTCCGTATCTAGCGACGCAGCCAGTGCGGAACACTTTAGGGAATCTGGGCAAGTCAGATAATCCTGGACAAACCTTGGAACGTACCATCATCACCATCAGCATCATCAGCAGCAGCATCAACAACGTCATCATCATCATCAGCATCATCATCAGCATCATCATCATCATCAGCAGCAGCATCATCATCAGCAACAGCATCATCGTCATCATCGTCATCATCCTTATCATCTCTCTCATCCTCATCCTCACTAGCATATTCATCCTCATCATCACCAGCATCCGGGCCAAATCTTGGAACTGATCAGCATCACCATCATCAGCATAAGCCTTAGCATCATCATTGCAATCATAAATTTCGCAAGCATCATCATCATCGTCATCATCATCATCACCATCATCATCATCATCATCATCATCATCATCATCATCATCATCATCATCATCATCATCATCTCCTGCATCAATAGATCATCATCAGCAGCATCAGCATCAGCATGAGAATCATCATCATCATCATCATCATCACCATCACCATCACCATCACCATCATCATCATCATCATCATCATCATCATCATCATCATCATCATCATCATCATCATCATCGCCATCATCCTCATCGTCATCATCACCACCATCATCATCGTCATCATCATCCTCATCCTCACCCTCATCCTCATCCTCACCCTCATCCTCCTCTTCCTCATCCTCCTCATCCTGCTTCCCCTCTTTCTCCTCAGCATCATCGTCATCATGACCTCTTGCTCCTCTGAGTATGCACCATCCTGGGGCCCAGGATTGCCCTGTCAAGCCAGGGTGATGGTGCACAGGTGCTTTCTGCGGATGGGGTCATCGTCGGGGGAAGCTCAGGGCACACCTCCTGCGCTGGCGCGCTCGATTGGCGTCTCCTCCCCTCGGCCTCCTCCTGCTACGTGCCCGCCTCGGCTCGGCTCCTGTGGCCACTCGCCGGCCAGGCCATGGGCGCACTGCCTGTCATCGGGGGGGGCTCAGGACCTCATCGCGCTCTGGCCGCTCGAAGAGCCTCCGCCACTCCGCCTCTTCCCGCTCCGCGCGGGCCTGCCGCGCTTTCTCTGACTCGCGCTTCCTCCTGCCAAGGGAGTGCCTCATCCAGATCCCGAAAATGAGGCTGCCGAGGAAGCCCAGGCCGACGGTGCCAGAGTAGGCCAGGGTCACCATGGGGTTCGACGGGTAATGCTGCGAGGCGAGTACAGAAGAACCACGCAGCCGCACAACTACAGGCAGGGCCACGGACAGAATAACATCCTCGAAGAACATGAGACCCTTCTGTCAGCCTATCCGAAGAACATTCGAGAGCACCTCCCCCAGGATTCAGCTACAAGCAAGAGAGACCCTAATCCAGAAGCCCTTATAATGAGGACGAGCGGTCGATTCAAAGCAGTCCCCTGGGACTGCTTTGAACGCTACAAGGCAGTCTTCAAAGCAGTCCCCTGGGACTGCTTTGAACGCTTACCTCGCAAGGCGACATGAGGGGCAGCAGCTGCAGGATGATGATGGTGATGGCGATCGATGAGGAAGATGGCGATGACGTCAATGATGAGTTGCCAACTTGTCTCGGCGAAGCGCTGTCCGCAACTGCGGCCGCAAACCTTCTGCTGCACTTGCCCGCCACTGCGGCCGCAAACCTTCTGCTGCACTTGCCCGCAACTGCGGCCATCACCAACGTGTCGTTTCGTAGGTCCAGGGAGCGCGGTCGTTCCACGGCCCCGCGTGGCCCGCGTTCTGCGTCTGGTCGGGCATGCCCGCCCACATGCGATTAGGAGGCGAACCCTCCGTGGCATTGTCCGCAACTGCGGCGCGATTATCATCCCACCACTTCTGCTCATCAGCGCGCCATCCTGCCCAGCTCGACCACTCATCAGCGCGCCATCCCGCCCTCCACCCCCTCGCGGGATCCTCCGCCCTCCACGCGCCGCTTCCGCTGGCGCCAGAGGACCCAGCCGCAACTGCGGCACAAGAGGGGGTCGGAACACGACCTAGAGGCTCAAACCCCCAAGCCGGGTGGTGAGATACCAGCGGCGGCTCAGCGCCCTTTCCCGCAACTGCGGTGTCTGAGTCGCCTCCGTTGTTGCTGCCCTTCTGGCCGCCCTTGCAAGCGCCTTTCTCTTGCTTCCGCTTATTTTCCTTTTCATTCCTCTCAGCAAGCTTCTCTGGCGATCTGCGACCCGCGTTGCGGGTGAAAGCCACCAGGGGGAAGTGCGCCCCGTTTCGCGCCTTGCCGACGGAGCCGTTCCAAATCGCGTCGCCCAGGTTGCCCTGCCTGGCTCGGAGGGGGTCGGGCACCCGCTCGCCCCGTGCACGGCGCGCCATCTTTTGTTCGAAATCCGCAACTGCGGCCTCGGAGGCGTTAGATGGCATCACGAAGTCGCGAAGCTTGCCTGCGACGGCCCCAGCCTTCGGCAAGTAAGTCGGCAGCGTCTTCCCAGGGCCACTCGTGCAATCGAAGGTGTGGAAAGAGGCGCCAGGGGAGCGCGTCAAGAAGCCGCCAGGGCCGTCGTGCAGGGCGTCCAGGCCATGCCGAAGCTCGTATCTCCCAGGGCAGCTGATGAACATAATTGCCATACTGTCTGCCCTGGGCTGGCCGCCTGCTGTCTCCCAGGGGGTCCACGCAGCGACGTCCACCGTGGCTCCGCGACTGCGGCGCCAGGACACGAGCTGGAACATGCACACGTTGAAGTCCCACATGCAGACTTTGACGTCCCACTTCGCGACGTACTCGGCGAACCACTCGTAGAATTCCTGGAGTTTCTTCGGGCCCCAGTCTTGGTTGGCCAAACTGTGGTGGACGCGCACCGCCATGACGTTGAAAGATTTCCCCAAATGGGGCAACGCTTCGCCCAGGGTGATGCGCGCAACCATCGCCCTCGAGTGCTTGTTGTGCCGTTTTGGCGCAGCCACCTCCGCAACTCCTGAATTATTCTTCTTCGGCTTCGACTTCTCCTGCTTGTGGAAAAGCCTCGTAAAGTCCACGTGGTCAATTTGGCCGCCACTGCGGTCTCTGAGGCCGATGAGGAGGGTCCCCGAAGGCTCCCCGCCCTTGACGCACAAGTAGTTGCATCGGGGTCGATTCATGAACTTCTCGTCCGCAACTGCGGTCGTGCTCTCGCGTGCGTCGCCCTCCCCAGAGATTACCCTGCAACAGTCGTCGTCGCACTCGCAAAGGGCGATAAGTTGGGCAGGATTGGCGTGGATCTGCGCGAACTCGTCTCTGCGTTGCGCGGGGTTCCCTGCGCTGTCCGAAGTCGGCCACGTGGAAGCCGATGCGCCCCGCTTCGCCTTGCGTTTTCTTCTGCCAAGCCTCGTAAACATATCCCCCCTTCTCAGACACACGACTCGTCTCGATAACATGCGCCCGCCTCCAGGTCCGCCTCTTCGACAGCACTTTCGGCGCGTGGGGCTCGCTGGTGGCCGCAGCTGCGGCTTCCGAATGTCCTTGTGGCTCCGCCTCGTCGGCGGAGGCAGCCGAGGACGCGACGGTACTGTCGCCATCTTGCATCCTTTGGTCGCCACCATCTTCCGCAACTGCGGTTTCCTCGTCAGCTGCCGCAGCTGCGGTTTCGCTTTCCTCCGCGTGGATGCGCGCAGTGTTAGCGAAGCGAGCTCCGCGCGGCATCGCCTGCAACGCCAATCCCGGACGCGCAGGCGCCCACCTGAACGCCGCGGGCGGCTGCGCGGGCGCCGCGTCGAGCCTCGGAGGCCACCGACGCGCCCAAAAGGAGGATGGGAGTAGACGGCAGGAGATGGGAGGAGAGAAGGACACGTTGGAGCCAGATGGCACGAGGAGACAAGGGGAGCGGGGGAGTGGCAGGACGAGGGCGAGGAAACAATTATGTCGCAACACCACGCACATTGAAACGCACGCGGGGCCACCCGTCCGCAGGGCGCGCAGCGACAAGACCTGTCGAGAGTCCGCAACTGCGGTTTTTGCATTCATTTTGACTCATGATGGTTCCCCCCAGGTCCGCAACTGCGGCTTGTAGGGGCTATGGCGGGAATCACCGGAGCCATTTGCCCGCCCAGGGTCCTCGCAGTCTGCGAGTGGACGAACTGCGACAGCGCCGAGCGATTCCCGGACGCCGCGTCGTTGGCGACTCGCTGCAGCCACCCAGCAAACGTCAACGGCCATTGCTCTTTATGCTCCTTGCACATCTGTTCGTCCCAGTTCGTTTTGAACCAACCCACTCCCCCATCTTTTCATCCGAGAGGGCGCCCTTTCCGCGAACCAAGCGGTCTAAAGCAGCCATCCTGTTTTTCTTGACCTTAAACTCCTCTGGGTTCCACTGGGCCAGGGCGTGCTTGTTAGCCAGGGCCGCCTCCACCGCAACTGCGGCCTCCTGCTTCTCCCTCAGAACAACTTCGGCCTCCCGAATATGTTTCTTGATGTCGTGGAGGGCCTTCGCCCTGTCGTTCGCTTCTGTTGCCAGGCGCCTCTGTTTCGCCGCAACTGCGGCATCGTGGTCTCGCTGGGCAATCAACGCTCGTAGGAGGTTGTCGTCTTCCCGCGCCAGCTCTCGCAGCCGCTTCTTCTGCTTGTGTTGTGCTGCACGGCATTGTTCGCCATGTTCTCCATGCCCACATTGCGCAGCATACCTTCCACCTCGCGAAGCGCGTCTGCCAGAGACGTCGCCACTTCCACCTGCTCGGCCGCATGGGCGTCCACCGCCACGCAGTCCATAGGCGCCTGCTTTTCCCGAGGCCCACCATTGTCCCGGCCATGCTCCGCCATGGCCTCCTCCCAGTCGGCCTCGTCGCCCTCCTCGTCGCCCTCCTCCTCTCCCTCGACCTCCTCGCCCTCCTCGTCGCTCTCCTCGTGGCCTGGCTCCAGGCCAAGCACTTCCTCTCCGAGCGCGTTCAACACGGCATCTGAGGCTTTATGCGTCTCGTACTGGTATATGAGCCGCTGCACGTCATTGCATGACCACTTGAGGCGCCCCTTCCGGCATTCCTCCCTGACCTCCGCGACTGCGACATCCACTTTCGCTCGGAGGCCCCCTGCTTCCCAGAGCTGCGCCGCCTCTCGGCAAATCTCCAGATCGCCAGACTTGTCAAAAGGCGCCCGTATGCCGACGTTCCGAAAACCCTGCGCAACGTTCACGTGCAACTGCAGATTGCTGAGCACAGAAACCATCAAGCCCGCGCACTCGGCACGCCGCAACTGCGGCACGTGTTTCCCTAACGCCATCTGCTGCACCAGCGCTTTGGTTTCGAGGGCAATGTACAAGCGTTTCACGTGCTGGTTCAAGTCCGTGCCCACAGGCTGCGCAACTGCGGTCGCCCCTCCGCCACGAATGATCAACACGTAGCCGCGCTGCCAGCTGAGTCTCCGCACAGCGTCCGCTTTGTGCGGGCCGTGGTCATCGGCCATGAGGATTCCCCACTTCCCCCGCAACTGCGGGTCGTCGGGCCATGCCCGCAAGTGCCGCCGCAGGAACGATATGACGTCGTCTGTGCGGTAGGACCCCTTCTCAGACGTCGCCGTGCGCACCCATTGCGGGAAGCCGCTACTGCGGGCATGAGCGGCCAAGTCCTCGGCGACGACAGTCCCCCCCTTGAACATCAGCTCCGCGAGCGGAGGTCCGCAACTGCGGATGTCCTCCACGTCGCTGGACACCGTCAGGTCGGCGGCCCACCGACTCTTGCTGTCGTCGCGCGCCTCCACGAGCGGAACAATGCCCCCCTTCACAGCCAAGGTCGGCTTCGAGACTGAGGAAGACTCGTTGTGGTGAAAAGGCGACTGGTCCCATTTCAGGATGTGCGGGTCGTACCCCAAAAGCTCCTCCGCGGCTGCGCGGACCCGCGCTACGTTCAGGATCATTGTCCCGAACCGCGATTGGAGCAACCACTTGGGGATCTTGCATTTGCGATTCGACTTCCTCATGCTCAGTCCGTAAGAGCGCCGCCACTTGGTCCACCACCATGCCCGCAACTGCGGCACTTTCGGCTTGACCCCCCGCTTCATGGCCTCCACGCAGTACTCCGCGACGAGTTGCTTCGCCTTGGTGAGCAGCAAGGATTGGGAGAACCTGGCGAGCATTTTGGGCTTCTCTTCCGCGACTGCGTTTCGCTTCGCCACCGCCTCCCAGCCCACCGAATACCTCATGTGGGACCACCATTCGTATAGAGCGGCCTCCAACCATGGAGCCTTTGTCGGCGCGCCTTGCGTGCCGCGGCCAATT